TACAAGAGACGTGGTCCATGTAGCAAAGGCATGACCATGAGACTTACTCTGAGGCTTTAGCCTCTAATTAGTCAACCAGATGCAGGGGAGGGCGAATAACGCCTCGAGTAGCACAGATAGGGGGCAGGGGCCGAATGAAATACGTGTACCAGGGAGATAGCAGACCGATTCTATGGGGCAAGATGGAGACTCTGAAAGGACCCAGGGAAGGACTACGTAACAATATGACAGACTCTGGTCAACTTTCCCAGCACAAGAGTGAAGGGGGTGAGAACGACAGTGTGGAGTGTGAAGGGTTTTCATGAATGCCGCTCGAAGGAGCACACCACACTACATAAAAATAAGCACGGTAAAAATTGTGACAGTGAAAGCGTGATAGGAGGATATATGAAATGTGAATAGCCCAGGGCAGAAGAGAAGATACCACAACTGTTTAGCACACGTTTGGTCAAGGGATGGGCTTCACTTGTCTCTTTGATGAGCTGTACTATGGTGCTAAGACTGGCGAGACTCACCGACGATGCCGACTACGATGCTGGCGAAAAGTCTAAGAATGTACCACGTCCACGGTCCTACTCTGGAAATAATCATGCATACAATAGACTCCGGACTAGGTGCGTTCCTTTAAGTCTTCCTACCAATGTAACCAAGTTGCGAAAACAGGATCAAACAACTTCTATTGTTCACTTGAGTTTAATAACCCATTGGAGGACTCCCAATGTTAGGGGATTGTAATGAGTGCAAAACAAAATAAATGTCGATCATATATAGTTTTGTAGGAATAATATGGAATTAAATTATGTAAAGGATAAGCTACGAAATGAAGAAGTAGGAGAACATGTAAAAAAACCAATCCCATAATGAAACGAAACTAAGTGAAAAATATGCAAGCCAATCTAAATCTAGATATTCTTATTTCACTATTTGAGCACAAGTTTGCTATTAAACACCAAAACAAGTCAACTATCTTATTAAAAATGATCAATTATAAGAATAGAAAGCTCTAGTGAGAACAAACAATTGTTGAAAAAAACAGTGTAGTATGGTATATGCTGTAGCTAACTAATATTTAGGAGTGGAACTTATGTGGCCTCGCGATTATAGAAAATAATAGCATGAAGCCAAAATTCGAAAATAAAGCAAATAGTCCTAAGAGCTTAAGAAAGGGCTAAGAACAATTCAGAGCCAAGAATCTTAGGAAAGTTATTAGGGTTCGGAGAATATGCAGAAAAAAATCTTACAAAATGATTAAGACAAATTCAAAGGAAGTATGTAAAGATAAGAATGTGAAATTTTCAACGCAAGTAACTATAGAACGTCATTATACGTTAGAATAATAACTCGGAATTTAGAAGAATTAAAAACCAGATTTAATAGGTAAAATATAGTTTAGAAAAAAATTAGCTGACATATAGTTATATGAAATGTATTCACCCTATTTCGTTTAAGGTAATGAAGGACAGATAGTAGAATTTTCCCACAATGATATCAGCAGAGATGACGTTTTCATTGAATTTTACATAGCCTTGCTTTCCTTAAAGTTGTTCTCATCCAGTGTGGACTGCAGTTTCGACCTAGCATCGGTCTTATCAACACCCTAAGCGGAAGTCGATCCGTGACAGTGTAGAATTAAAGCTTGACACGTTAACCACTCAGCCACATTGCATCGAGTGAGCTTGGGTCACAGGGCAGATGTGAATTTCAAGGAAGGCCAGGCCTTTTGCTATATCATATTCTTTTGTGGGATTGCCGATGAAGCAAACGTATATTTGCTATAACAATCGACTACTTAACTTATTTTCCGTATTTAATTACAGTTTTGAGACTACCAGTAAATCAGTAATGAGCTGTATTCACCATATTTTATTTAAAGCATCAGTAACGTTCCGAGGCTGTTCAAAGAATCTCGGCCGAAATAGTGAATACATCTGATATTACTGATTTACTGGCAGTCTCGAAACTCTATTTAAATACGAAAGATAAGCAACGTAGTCGATTGTTGTAGCAAATATACGTTTGCTTTATCGACAATCCCATCAAAGAATATGATATGGCAAAAGGCCTGGAATTCCTTGAAATTCACATCTGCCCTGTGACCCAAGCGCACTCGAGGCAGTGTAGCCGAGTGGTTGACGTGCGAACCTCACATTCTGTACTGTCACGGTTCGACTCCCGCCGGGGGTGTTGATAAGACTGATGAAAGGTCAAAACTGCAGTTAACCCTGGATGAGAACAGCTTCTGGAAAAGCAAGGCTATGTGAAATTCAATGGAAACGTCAGCTCTAATCATATAATTGTAGGAAAATTCTACTACCAGTTCTTCTTCACCTTAAACAAATTGGGTGAATACATCTCATACTACTGATTTACTGATAGTCTCAAAACTCTACTTAAATACGAAAAATAACATGTAGTAAATCAAATGCAAATAATTAGGAAAAAGTTCAAGAGTGGACAAGAATGAACGAGTGTAACAGAACTTTTTCCAAATAGAATTTACCCTCTAAGAGACACGGTACTAGAATACATTAAAATTTACCAAATCGTGCATAATAAAAATCTTTAACGAAGGTATGGCCGTTTGTATGGTCGCAGTCTCATTTCGCTGTATAGACGTTATTTGATCCTGTTTTCGCAACTTGGTCGTATTGGTAGGAAGACCAAGAAGAACGCATCTAGTATGCAAGATAATGGCCAGAGTAGGACGGTGGACGTGCTACATTCCCAGACGTTCCGCCGCCATCGTAGTCGGTATTGCTAGTCTTAGCACCACACCACAACCCGTCAGAGACAAATAAAGCCAATTTATTGACCAATTGACTACTTAACAATCATGGTATCTCTCCTTACGCTCTGGGTTAATCATCAATCTTATATCATTGTATCACACCTCCTCATACGAATATATATAAATGTGGTATGGCTTGCCCTTTTGAGCCGATTTCATGAGAACTCTCTACACTTCACACTGGCTCCCTCAACCCCTCCACTCTTGTACTGGGAATGTTGATCAGTGTTTATCCTATTGCTATGCAGTCCTCCTTCAATAGGTCTTATCAGAGTCTCTCTTTTGCCCCGTAGGATCCGTCTCCTATCTCCCCAGTTTAAGTATTTCACTCGACCCTTACCACTGCATCTGTGCTACTCGAGATGTTATTCCCCACACTGCGTTTAGAAGAATAACTTAAGGCCAATGCACCCGCGTAATTCTCATGGTCAAGCCTTTGCTTCATGGACCACGTCTACGATCAAACACGTCTATTAGAAGTTTGTGGGCACCTTGGTTATATTGGTAGGAAGATTTAGAGGAACGCACCTAGATCAGGGTCCATTGTATGCATCATCATTTCCAGAGTAGTACTGTGGACGTAGTACATTCCCAGACCTTTCGCTAGCATCGTAGTCAGCATCGTCAGTGAGACTCGCCAATCTTAGCACCACACTTGTCAAAGCGACAAGTGAAGCCGATCCTTTGACCAAACGGTGCCCTGATCTATTCACATTTTCTATATCCTCCTATCACGCCTTCACTGTTAAAATATATTGTTACGTAGTCCTCTTTCCCTAGGTTTTATCACAGTCTCTCTCTTTCCCCGTAAGACCCGTCTGCTCTCTCCCTGATTCACGTATTTCACTCGACCCATTCCACCCCACCTGTGCTACTCGAGGCGGTATTCTCCCTTCCTATGCGTCTGGATGACTAATTCGAGATCAAGCCTCCGAGAAAGTCTCATGGTCACGCCTTTGCTACCTGGACCATGTCTATGGCAAAAAACTAAAAGAACTAAAAAAAAATAAGCAAAGGCTTGACAATAAGAATTACGCAGAAGCATTGGCCTCAAGTTATTTTCCCAGACGCAGAGTGTAAAAAATAACGCCTCGAGTAGCACAGATGGAGTGGCAAGGGTCGAGTAAAATACTTGAACTGGGGAGATAGACAGATCCTACGGGGCACTAGGGGGACTCTGATAAGGCCTATGGAAGGATTGCGTAACAATAGGGCAGACATTGATCAACATTCTTAGCACAATGGTGAAAGGGAGTGAGGAAGCAAGCGTGAAGTTTGGAGAGTTCTCATAAAATCCGCTCAAAAAAGCACACCATACCAAATTTAAAGAAGCAAGTAAAAATTGTGGCAATAAGGGCGTGATACGAGGATATAGGATTGGTGATTAGCCCAGGGTCTAAGGAGAGATACCACGATTGTTTAGCAGACAATTCATCAATGAATTTGCTTCATTTGTCTCTTTGACGTGCTATAGTGTGATGCTAAGACTGGCAATGCTCACTGACGATACAGGTGAAACGTCTGGGAATGTACTATGTCCACGGTTCGACTCTAGACATTATCTTGTGGACTAGGTTCGTTACTATTGGTCTTCCTATCTATACGACTAAGTTGCGAAAACAGGATCTAACAACAATGGCGAACTACCAAAGAAAAAGGGATATTAGATAATGATAGAGGATAAAGATGTCAAGGAAATTGACTGTTGTGAGACTATTAGATGTGACCTGATTAGCATGCTGAAATTTTAGTACCTATTTAATGACAAATAACCAGAGAATAGGTAACCTTCTAATCAATGTACTTTTACAGATTGAACGATACACCGCTTATATTGATTTAAAGAAGACTTACTAACTTTGATCACGATTGGTAATATGAGAAGTTACCAGAAGCCTAGCAGGGTTCAACGAATTGATCTAGGTCATCAATAAGAATTATGAGGAGAATCCTAAAATGTACAGACAGTCTCCAGCGAGCCAGTCAGAATACAAATAATGAAAAAATGTGAACTCAAATTTAAAAAATTTATCTGGAAAAAATTAATGCAAGTCAAGGACGTCGTGATAATATCGTGATAAAGCAGTTGGGATCCCTTTCTAGCATTACAAGAAGTGACGGCTTGAGAACCAAGAGGGTTGCGTGGATATTGGAGGATGAAAAGGTGATAAAAATATGGCTTAAGACAGTATATAAAAAGAAAAATAATAAAAGGGACGAATGTAATTGAGATCGAAAGTGATATGAGGCTAGCCCTACAAAGAAGAGCCAAGCATCGATATGATGGTGAAAAAGAAAAGAAGTAGATCAGGCAAGTCGTTAGCAGGACGCAGATTCGAGAAGAAAAAGTTCAGCTAGCATTAAGACATTAAAAGATAACAGCTAAATTTTTTGGCAAAGAAGAGAGAGGCTGACTATAAGTGGAGTTTCTGCTTGAAATGAAACTAAGTGAATGAGATGAAATAGCAGTCTTCCGAGAATCGGCGGTTAGAAAGAACTGGACTAGATGGACGCAAGTCTCACAGTACTAGATTGTAGCTGCTCCTTGCCACAATGAAAAATAGAATTGATGAAACGAACAAAGCCGGTGTCCATTGGTTTGTCTAGCCCTCGCAGGAGCCGGTTCTTCATCACACTGACGAATTCCTTGTTGCTAAGCTCTCCGTCATCTGAGATAGGATAAAGAAAAGAAGGGAAGGGTATAAAATGCTAAAAATGAGTAATGAAGATTAATGAAGATCAGCAAGTAAAAAACGTGGTAGGACTAACAGGGAAAACATCGTAAAAAAGGAACGATGTGGGAAAATTCTAAAGCTTAGGAGGACTTGGTAGTCAGAGAGTTAACCAGTTTATCAAAAGTGGTTTGATCTGGTTCCAAAGTTTGACAGGTGCATCGTATAATAAATGATAAAAAATCATAGAAATGAAGTTACAAAGATAGTGTGAGGAAATTATAGGGTATTAGCGAGTGATGACAGAATGATATAACTTTAGCAATAACAATACAGTGATTCCCAAACTGTGCGCCGCGGCCTCTTTACAGGGGCGCCGCGAAACATTGTAAAAGCTTCAATTTGAGAAAATGTGCAACGATTTGCAGGCTCATCCATCACATTAATTATTAAATATTAATTTAAAGTATTAAAAAATGAAGATACACGCATTTTTTTGTTTCTATCTCTTACTTACGAAGAGTCATACTTAGGGTAGAGCGCCATGAAAAAACGGTAACACTATCAATATTATTTCTGTCCTGTCCTATCTATCTACTCCTTACCCTCTTATCAAACTCCCGCCCTATCACAGCTTCTCCCTTGTTTACATTCCACTCGTCAAAATATGTGCCCTTTTGTGGCAAATCTGCTGTGGCTTCATCACACCTGCTATTCACCCCGACCCCCTCTCTTTCATTCGGCTAATCCGACTAGGGCCTCCAACTCGGATCCCCTCATTGTCTCCTAGATCCGTTCCTTCCCTTTCTGGCTGAATGATTTCACTCGGTTCCAGTCCCAGTGTGCGCTTTACTCCAAGCGCTATTTCTCAAGGCCTTAGAAGCACGTAGACTGCAGCCTCGCTGAGCAGAGCTTAGGCTCTGATTCGTGTGCTTGTAGATATCAGGCATTGTCTTCACAGGTCGTCTCCTTAATTAAACCCGTGTAACCTGAGCAAACTGTGGACGCCTATCTCTGGTTGAATGCTGAATCTCAAGTCGATTTCTAGTTCATTTTATCCATAACGTCGAATTTTTGTGATAACTTGCTTGTCCGCCCGCCTAGCTCCATAACTGTCAGGCCCCCAAAGTTGTACTGATTTATTCGAAACAGACATCACGTCCTGCAACGTCTTCGCTTGATTGCCCAAACTCCCCGTCCCTCACTTTCCTCATCGCAATACCTTTTCCTCCGGTTAGTGATAGATCCCTGATCCAAGCGTCCCCTTTTTGCCGGTCTTGCTCTATTCTTGTTTTCCCCGAATTTCATTAAGCAGTAGGCAAAGTTATCGCTAACTCTATCTTCTTCCAATCTCCTGTTCATTAGATTTTTCTCCCAAAGGATGTCAATGGCTTCCATAATCTTCCACTTGCTTGTGTTGTCACCGTATGAGGCCCTTCTTTCTGTTGCCTTCCAATTGATCTCTTATCCAGTCTGTAAGACGTTTTCCGTTAATTCTGATCTTTCGGTATCCATTTTCCTGCAGAGCCTTTGATGTTTCTTGATTCGTATGCAAATTATTATCCCTGTTTCGCCAATATATTTCTGTTCGCAGGCGCCGCATGATATACGGTAAATTCCTGAAAAATCCAACGTATCTACGCTTTCATTTTGTGTCGGTAGACTTGTGAAGTGTTGATTTCCCTTTCATGACCACCTGAATATTCCATTTATTCAATATTGGCCATAGTTTTTGAGTTAGTTCGCAGGAAGGTAGGCATATTCACTTTGGGGAATCCTTGATCGTCCTTACAGTTCTTTCATAGTCCCCGTCCTGCCATCGGCTTTTCACGGCCCGTATCTTTCTTTGTATCTCTTCGCTAGGATACTCATTGCCGAGAAATATCCTCGTCAATTTGTCCAGCTCCTCGTCCCAGAATTCTACATCCGTTAGGCGTAGGCTTCGGATGATGATACTCCTCATTATTCCTATCTTTAGCCTGTAATTGTGATGGGACCGGAAATTGACTATTATCCCAGCATAGGACTTCATTCTGAACAATTTATTTTGAGCGTCCCATTAGAGCGAATCACTTCAACGTCCAGGAACGGTAACGCTCACCTTCCTCTAATTACATCATGAATTGAATTTTTTCATCAATCTGGTTTACAAACTTCAGAAACTCTTCCAATTTTTCTCTTCCATGCGACCAAAGTGCAAATTAATCACCCAGATACGGCATGAGCACCGCCGGTTGTAGCGGTGCCATCGTGACGCTCTTTTCTATTTTGTTCATGTATACGTTCGCCAAAAGTGATGAGAGCGGCGATCCAATGGGAAATCCAAATATTTGTTCATAGATGCTCTCGTTGAATGTAAAATAGGTTGTCCTAATGGTCAATTTGATTAGTCTTGTTAATGACTTCCTCCTGATCCGTTGTGATTTCAGGA